GAACTACCCTTCAGTGTGATGGGGAACACTGGAAAACAGAGAAATGTAGAAACAGGAACGCTTAAATGAACATGAGGAAGTTAAGGGCCTGATTACCGCACTGACATAAAAGACAAGCTGGATGAGAGTGGATGTTAGAGCTGATTTAAATACTGGGTGAAAATGAGCCTTGATGAGCAGCAGGTGTGATGACCAAGCGTGGGAAACAAGGACTCCACCTGTAAGCAGACCTTCACCTGCCCAGCCCTATGTAGACTTTGGACAAAGGGAAAAACACAAAACAGCAAACAGACAGGTGGAGGATTATGATGCTAAACTCTGGGTACTAACGGAGGGATCAGAGACACAAGCCGCAGAAATGAGCTTCTTCCAAATCGTACCTGGCCTCTCCCTTAAAGAAAGCGTGAGGAATTTGGTTACTCAGGAGGGATTAAGAACAGAGCTGCTACTCCTCCACATCAAAAGAACCAGTTGATGGGATTCAATTATTGGGCTAAGCCTCTTGGAACACCTCCTAAGTGAGGTGTTCCAGGCATGTCCTACCAAGAGGAGACCCCGGGGCATACATGTAGGGGAGATTATATCCTTCAGCTGCTTGGAAACACCTCAGTTTCACCCCGAAGGAGATCGGGGAGGTGGACAGGGAGAGGGCAGTCTGGGCATCTCTGGTTAAATTGCAGCCTCCTAACCTGGACACAGACAAGCAGAAGAAAATGGATAGAGTGATGTCCAACATATAATTGGGGCAATAGCTAAGGTTAAGGTTTGGTGTGTCGTATGATGGTGTTTCTACGTTGAAAAACTATGACATAACTACTATGTGATAGGTCACTTGCAATGTTAAACCTGGACTAACATTAGTTTTGTTGATCCAGAAACAACACCAACACGATGATATCAGATCGTGCGATAGACGGATGGATAGATTTTTACCATTTAATATTCTGTACCATTCACCTAAACTGTGTTTGAGTAAATGAGACAGTATCATCTGTGTGAAAGGCTTTGCTAACCATAAAAATTCAGATTCGAAATTAATAACAAAAATGCTCAAGGACAAGCTGGATTTGTGAGGGAGATACTGCTTTGGAGACTCAGTTTTGACTGGTGACACAATAACCTCAAACCTGGCGCTTCTATATTTCAGACTGGCTCACTTTCCAATGTAGTTGTAACTAATGTAATCATGTAGCCTCCATTCTGGGCCATGACATGACTCATCTAACAAAGCTGGGTACTTTAAACACGGGCAGCTGTGCCATGACAATATCAGCTACTTCCACAGCTGAGGGAGTTATTGTGACGGTGAGGAAGGTCAGCGTTATCGTGTACGGACTGTGAACTGATTATTAAAACCTTGAGTAATGAAGATTCTCAAGAATGAGCACACAATCTTAATTCTCAACGACAAAGCACTTCAGTTTGAGCATGGAAAAAAAAAGTATGATATACGTGCTTACATCAGTGATCAAATGTTCTGTTCCAGTCACTGCTGATGCCAAACAATATGCCATTCCTCCCTAGAATATGATGTAACTTTCACTTAACCAGACAGTAGTTAACATCATCAGTATTGTGTAATGTTTTTTTTAACTTTATGCCAAGAAATCTAACACAAAAAAATGCTCCTATCACCCTTCATTTACTCGGTGGGCTACAATGATTGTCTAAAAAGAATCAGACTAGCAGTTAAAGGTCAAAGGTCAAATAAATATATTGACTAATGCAAAGTACCAATGGCTAAATGCTGTGATATAATGTCTTCTATAACCACTGATTTACTCTTATGATCTACAGTAGATTCCATATAACTGAAGTGATGAGAATATTTGCTACCACCAGGGGGCCCAAATCAGCAGAGCTCTGTTTGGTATTTAAATGAATGAACAGGAGATGTAACCTGAAAAATCACAGAAGATGTAAAGCATGTAGTACACTGAAAGAGGAGACTTTAAGTTTATGTATTTTACTTTGAGTAGATTATCAACACACCCACGCGGGACTCATGAGTGAATGTTTTCCTAGTTCTGGTCCCAAGCCCAGATAAAGAAAAAGAACGGTATGCAGCGTAAAATCTTTGCCAAATCAAATGTGTGGATCAGAAAAGATACAAACAGCTGTGACGACAGAAAAAAAGAGTAATGACACGAGGTAAAGACACAAGATTCAGTCACTGAAATCAGGCCTTATATAATCAAACAAGTCTCACTTTTTAAAGGAATACCTGGGTTTTTGGTCTGTCTTTACCTACTAATGTCTGTTCAAACAACACATGCCCACAGCTATGACTCCAAAAGATGATAACACACAAAGAAAGCATTGCATGCTTCCGTGCAAGCAGTGATACACAGACCATATTGAATCATGTCAGGCTTTTAATCTCTTTTAAACTCCCCCATTAAAAATTAATCAGCAGATGTCAGATGAGGAGAGAATGGAAGTCTCAGTAAGGAGGGTGAAATCAGGAGGCAGCTGAAGGGTGGACCGCACAGACCACAAAGCACGGAGTGTCCGACATCTGGACGAGGAGCACAGAAGCCAACAGAGAATAGCAGAACCAGGTGGATGAGCGGAAATTGTTAATAAAACGCACATGGGGCAGCGGCAGAGAGAAGCTTAAGATACAGTTGGTAATGTTTTTCACTGTTACAGCTTTAAAGGCGAGCCCATATCTGTAGCATCTGATATAAAATGAGGATTTAATGCCTGATTTTGAGGTTGAAAATCCTTGTTGGTGTCCAACAGTTAATGAGTGGTTAGTGTGCAGTTTGTATTGAGAAGAAAAAAGGGCCTGCAGTGGCATGTAGTGATACACCTGGGTGGTATCAGTGTGCTAATGAAGGTGTTCCTGTGTTTGGAGGGAAAGGCATGAAGTTGCATGTCGTGTAAACAGCGGCGGAGGAAGTTTATGTCCTTTGAAGTGGAAAAATATTACGTTGCAAAAATTCTCTATACAACTAAGTTTTGCATGACAACTTCTAGAAAATAAAGGCACATCAGTATTATTATTATATTATTATATTATTATTAGATGCAAAAAAAAAATGCCTCTTGTAAGTGTTACATTTCAGCTTATTATATATATTCTAAGGTTACTTTATGCTTTACCCAAATATCTAATCAGCCAATTACATGCATTTTGTGGACCTGCTGAAGCTCAAACCGAGCATCAGAATGAGGAACAAAAGGCAATTCAAGTGACTTTGGATGCAGACTCGTTGTTGGAGCCAGACAAGCTGGTCTGGTTATAACAGAAGCTGTTGATCTGCAGGGATTTCCAAACACAAACATCTCCAGAAGCTACAGAGAATGGTCCAAAGGAAGAGAAAATATCCAGTGAGCGCCAGTCCAATGTGTGAGAATACCTGTTGATTCCAGACATCAGGAGAGAATGTACAAACTGCTTTGAGCTGACAGGACGGCAACAGCAACGTGAATAATCACTCATCTCTGAAACTATAACAGGTCAAACCTTGAAGCAGATGGGCTCCAGCTGCAGAAGACCACACCGGGTGACACTCCTGTCTGATAAGAACAGGAAAGTGAAGCTACAGTTCACACGGTTTCAACAAAATTGGACAAAATAAGACTGGAAACATGTTGTTTGTTTATTTGATGAGTCTTGATTTCTGCTAAAGCATTCAGATAGTTAGGTAGGAACTCGGTGTAAACAACCTGAAACAACCATGTTGTTTTTATTAACATTAATAATAATAATAATAATAATAATAATTAATATATATTTTGGCACACTTTCCACCCAGTGTCACCAACTGAGCATTGCTATCCAGAAGGGGAAAGCTCACGCTGGTTTCTTGAACATGACAATCAGTTTTGCTGTGCTCAAATGGCCTCCACAGTCACCAGATCACAATCCAGCAGAGCACCACTGGAATGTGGTAAAGATTGGCATCACCGTGTAGCTGATGTTATCGTGTCAACATGAACCAAAATCTCAGAGAAATCTTTCCAGGATATGTGCCACAAATACTTAAGGCATTTTCAGATATAAAATTGGAACACTATATGAATTACATTAGCAAAGGTATGCTGAAAAAGTAAAAAGGTCAGAAAACTGTAAAACTGTATCTATTAACACAGCAAGGTTAACTGTTCTTTATTGTAATAATATCGAATCATTAATTAGATTGAATAAAATAATAACAATCATTGGTTTCTCATTCTTATGCATTTAATTTCAGCTATTAAGTTTACCTGTTTGTTACTTCGGTGTAAGCCGAATTTGAAAAAGGAAGGGAAGGGAGGGGGGCAGTGAAACGATGACAGCAGCTGCTGAAGTTCTTTAATTTGAGCTTGTGAAAAGAGGCCATCACCTGGTCCAGGTAGACAGGACCCTGGCTGTGTTTCAGCTCTCCCTCACCTGTGTCTTACCTGTCGTCAGTCGTAACTCATCGTGTCATGCTGGATGTGTAAGGCCATGAAAGGTGATCTAGCCCCCCCTCAAAAAAAAGAAAATCTGTACGTGCACCTGAACACAAATGGCCCTATTTCAGCATGTTTCCTGTCTGCAGCCCCTGTAGCAGGTTATCTAGAGCCTTTACCTGGAGAAGGGTCACCCTGGCAACCACTAAAAGGATACCCAGTTCTTAAAAATAAAAATAGTAGCTTTAATCCTAAACTTTAATTTAATTTAGTTTCTTTGGTGTTTAATATGTAGCCAATGAGGAGGCGTCGTTCCCACCTTCCCAAGGCGAACTCGTAATCGGATATCAGGAGTGGGTGTCATTATTTAGAAGTGGAAAATATCTATTTGGCACTCATGGGCACGGAGATTAAAACTCTGTTCAGAGACACTAAAACAAGCGGGGGAAATCCGTGTCCCAAAACACGAATCGATAAATACGATTGGCCAATATCCCTCCGCCCCGCTCAGCACGCACAAAGTAGTCCCGCCTGTGACACGCCAAGCAGGAGGGGGCGGAGCCAAGCATGAGCTAGACTGACACGTAAGAGTCCTGCGTAAAATTAAAGGAAGAAGCTGCATCTTTTCCTCAAGTTGTCTCTGGATGCTCCACTTCGATGTAGAGTCGAGCTGTCCCAGTCCAGAGGCCTGTTTGGACGCCTTGAAAGCGACCGAAGCGGGACTGCCGGACAGAGAGATCCGACGCTCAAGATGAGATTTTCGTTGTTAATTTCTGTGCTGCGGTCGCTCGGCCCGGTGGTGATCGGTATTTCTTTAGGCTTCACGCTGAGTTTACTGAGCGTGAGCTGGTCGGAAGACGCGTGTTCTCCGGACAGTAAGGAAGGGGAGGCTGTGTCTTTAGGTAAGGATGGACTGCTCAAAGGAGCCCGAAAGCCCAACTCTATTTCTGCTGTCAACGATGTGACGTCCGAAGAGGATTTTCAACCAAGAATAGTCCCGTACAAACAGATCCAGCCGAGCGCCCCAAAGAAAGTTTTCAGGTAACTTGTGTTTGTTGGTTCGCTTTGACTGGAGAGCACAGCCTGACAGCCTGTGGCTGATACTCAATCCAGGTCACGTTGCTATACACTACAGCACAGCAGGCCGCTGTGTAGAGCATCCCTTTTAAATGATGACTGGTCTCTGATGGTCATGATTATGATGATGGTGTTGAAATCACTCATTGTGTGACTTCACATCATAACGCCTGCGCGGGTAGTGTGGCCAGGTGTCCTACTTTCTGTGCACACCATTGTTCCTGTGTCCCATAAGTGAAGACAAAGATCTAGGTTTGGTTGGCGCAAGTTTACAGGCTGTAAAAGTGAGGACAAGATGCCTCACAAGAGACGTGCACATCTGTAGATGCAGCCAAACATGATTAAGAGGCAGAAAAGCTGCTGAAATTGCAGGTTTAACAGTTACTTCAATGGAGAAATGTGATTACAGGAGTTTGCAAAGAGTGTTAATTAGTGAGGGAGTTGGGAAAATTGCATTCAAAGACTTTTTTTTTTTTTTTTTTACACATTCAGTCACTAATTCTCATGTAGCTATACGATTATAATTGAGTATCCTCATCATTAAAGCTAATAGTGGTAGCCACAGCTGATTCAGAGCCTGTTTCCTTCTACCAGATCACATATCCACAGAAATTTGGACACAACGTGAAGTCTGCACCACTTCCTCTGCTGTTTTCCAGTGTAACCCTGGCCAGAGTAGAGCTAGTTTTTTTTTTTTCTGTGCTACAGTATGCCTCCAAACTTCCATTTTTTCCCCTCTCTGAGTAAAGACCTTATTTAAGTGCTGGCCTCTGCATCCACAGTGGCTGAATTTCAGTCCAATTCCAAGAAAGGGTCTTTCCTCGTAAAGAAGTTCTGCTGAGGCTACAGATGCAAACATGCAATTGCCGAGGTTTCTGAGGCAGCTTATGCCAAACGTTGGTTTGTTCAGTAAAGGGTGGTGCATCTTATAATTGTTCTTATGAATTATGCCTAACCCTAATCCCAATGAAGCTAAATGTGGGGCTAAAGGAAGTAGGCTTTCCCAGATCAGGTTGATACTGTCTTTTATAGCCATTGTTATTACAGACTGTGTTCCGTCTGGTAATCCTCAGTTTTCAGTTGCATCCTAACTTTTGTAAACTTGAGCCAATTAAGATGTGAACCACTGTCTTATAATGTAGAGTCGGGTGTGAGACTCCTGAGCACTGTACTACCAAGCAGGATTTTAACTTATCAAGGTAACTTTGGTGTTAACCCAGGTTTTTCAGTACTATTAAGGTGGTTCACTTTTTACCAAGGTTCATCCCTATGGTAACTTAAGCTGTGAACCTTGCACATTAAAGATCAGCAAGTACAAAGTCTCCACCTCCTGACCAATCAAGTTTTCTGAAAATAGCGCCAGCCTTCTTGGAAGATATCTGACTTGATAGCAGGAGGGTATAAAGTCAAAGGTTTTTTTAATGGCTTCAGTTTGACTTTGTATTCCCGAAGAGTCAGTAAGAAAACTTCTAGGTCCAGTTGTCCTTGTTATGTTTTCTCTGTTGGGTGCAAACGATTTTACAACAGTTTTGTTGTTCTGCAAACATGAATATAAAAATCTGGAAACCTGTTTGTACTTATGGACTCTCTATCAATTGCATTTAGACAAAACCTACATTTTAAAATCAGTTTTTTGTATCAGTTCTTTACTGTTATCCATCATCAAGCTGGAGCTGAAAGAATAAAAACCAAAACTGTCATATGCAAATTTAAACATTAATTTAATGGAATACTCATTTATACCTCGTCCTTAATGATATAGTCTGTTAACTCACACAACTTGTATTTTTGCCAGCTTTTCTTTCTGTCTTTAAACAGGCTTAACTTTGTTAATTTAGTAGCTCTCTTCCAGTCTTACGGACTAAAACATTTAAAGAAATCATGTATCACTTATAACACTAAACTACTGCACGGTCCTTTTCCTCTCACACTGCAGCAGCTGTTCATTCCATTATATCTGTGTAAGCTATTCATATTTTCCTAATATCATAGTTTACTCTTTCTTTGCGAAATCAGCTTCCAGTAAAATAATCAGTGCGACAGGTCAGATGTTGCCAAAACCCCCTTTTTCATGTGAACACGCTGATATCTAGATTAGGAAACTCTGGGTTAACTTAGTGAGTTGATAACCAGCTTTGTGTGACTGCTTATCTCAATCACCAGTGTTATGTTAAATTAGTCCAGATAACAGAAAGATACCCTGGGGATTTTGAACTCGCTGCACGGTACAGACCCAGGTCACCCTACAGATAACCAGAGCTCATGTAGATGTTCTCACATATACTGTTTGTCCAACCGAGAGTTCAAAATGCAAATATTTCATGTGGGACCACACATGTGAAGAGAACAGCTGCGAATTCTCTTGGGGGAAAAATGTTGTTTAAAATTTGTTCCACTGTCTTGAGTGATCTATTGACCAACAGTTGCAGCTCTAATAACAGGCCATTATTAATGCTATGTGGAGCATAACAAGGAAATGAAAATCAGTTTGGCGTTGTGGTGAATGATGAAACACAATGCAAGTTCTTACATGTTTACTTTTCCGAAGAACATTAGTTGTTACTTGTGTGTCAAGATATTTAAATCATCTAATCGACAAACTCGGTTTTGGTGTTTTCTGTTAAGATGGAAATATTGCGAAAGCCTGAATGGACACTGATGTTTAGAGTATCTTCTTGCAGATTTGAAAGGGGAAGCAAAAAAAAAAAAAAATTAGTCAGAAATGCTGTAAAGTCATCGGGCAGTCCAGTGTGAGACTTACAAGCCACCACTATAGGTCACTACATCATGTCTGTTTAGTCCTTGTTTTCTGTAATGATTTAATAATTTCTAGATGTTTAATGAGCTGAACAATAAATTACAAGACTCTACAACAGTTTTTGAGCCACACCTCAATAGTTTGCTTTACTTCAAAGGAGTCTGACATTCTTGACATTTTTTGACAAGTGATTTTGAGCAATAGTTCTCCAGGCGTTCTGAAGGTCTTTCAAATGTTTCATTTGAACATTGAATGGGAATTAACGAGCAGTCAATCTGATCTTTGTACTTGAGCATTTTTCAGAGCAATGTTATTTTTGTTTGTTAAGCCACTTGACCCTGACCTATGGCATTCATTCATTCATTCAAGAATAAAAGACACCAAAACCAGTCTTGTGCCTGCACATAACAGACAACTTGGCGCATAACCAATTTTAAATTATATCTTTAGACACCAAATTTGTTTAGTTGAATTTATGTAAAAAAAGAACAACAAGGTGATTCCCAAAGAGTCATTACACACCTTACACAGTACTTTACATATGCGAAATAATATATTATGATATAAGATCTATTTAGATCATTAGTTCTTTTGTTGGCAGTTTTCATTCAAAGCAGCATCCACTCAGTCACCGTTTGACATCTCTTTCAGGGCCAAGTACATCAGCACGGAGTTGGGGATGCGGGAGCGTCTGTTCGTCGGGGTCATGACCTCCAAAAACACCATTAACACCTTAGGTGTAGCTGTGAATCGAACCATCAGCCATCATCTGGACGCTGTGATCTTCTTTACTGGCTCGCGCAGCCGCAAAATCCCTCACGGCATGTTTGTGGTTTCTCATGGAGACGAGAGGCTGATATGGAACATGTTCCAGACCATCAAATACATTTTCGACCATTACATCAATGAATACGACTGGTTCTACTTTGTCCAAGATGACGCCTACACTGAAGCCGACCGGATCAAAGCCCTGGTGGAGCACTTGAGTATGGATCGAGAACTTTACATGGGCAGGCCTGAGGAGTTCATAGGTGGGGCGATGGAAGGGAGGTACTGCTATGGAGGGTTTGGGTACCTCCTGTCACGTAGCTTGCTGCTACGACTCCAGCCCTTCCTGGAAAATTGTAGGAACGACATCCTGAGCGCCCGGCCTGATGAGTGGCTTGGACGATGCATCATTGATTACACCAGCATAAACTGCGTTGGCAAATATGAGGTAGGTTGAGAAGTGGATTTAGAATCCTATGACCCCATAGACATCTATGCAATCTGATATACTGACATCAGAAAAGTCGCTGCCTGCTGGCTTTCAGAAGTAATGCAGGTTTAAAGCACTTAAATCTACGTTTGGGACACAGAAACTTTTATACAGTCTTTGAAAGACCAAACACCTTTTTTTTTTAATAGTGATTTTTTTTTTTGTGTATCAAACCACAAAGAAGACTTGCACAAAGTCTTTCATTCAGAACAGCCATGTGATAGGTCATAGCAGTTTAAAAAAAAAAAAAAAAAAAACCCTCACAGTGCAAATCATGCTTTGCCTCTGGGAAAGCACTTAAAGCTGACGGACAGCCAGCTATATAAAACTGTAATTACCATGCAAGTACAGAGATGGTATTTGTGTTACAGAGTGGTTTGCTAATACCCTTTAGCCTTGCATTTTTTGCATCTCCAGCAGCACTGTGGAATAAGCAAACAGGCAAAGAAAGCACAGCTCACAGTTCAGCTTAGATTCAATGGCGTGAAAATCCCCTGTGGGTCAACATGCTCTGCTCCTGTAATGTCATTAACATTTAAGGTCAAACAAGCTCTGTCTCCACCCTTTAGGCAATTGGTTGTGTCATTCAGGCAGTCTGCTTCACCCATACTAAAGTTTTTGTTTTGTTTGTATTATTTTCCATACATGTAAAAATCTTTTTAGCTTCTATTTACCCTTACTTGGCCTTCCCCCAAAGCAGGAAACCATCTTGTACCATAGCTGAGAGTGAGTAACTTGGCTATCTTAAGTGCCCCGAGCCAGAATAGCTCCACCAGAGTCCCCTCACACTCCCACACTCCCAAGATAAGGGGGAGAAACAGAGGCAAGCTAAAAGGCCTCAAATGGCTGAAGAAAATAGCTTGAACACAGACCCAGGCATTTTTTTTTTCTGTTAAGAAAGAGAACACTGATAACAATTAGGCTTCACTAAGTCTTCAACTACAGGGCGTAAGTTGGAAAACATTTCCAACAGAATTGCTTCACTGCTCAGTTAAGCATTGTCTCTGTTCTTTGTTCTTTTAATAGCTTGATCAGATTGGGTTCACTTTTTTTAATCACTCAAGCTCCTTAGGTGGTTACTTTGTTTTCGGCTTAAGTGACCATGTCTGTAAGTGGGATTCTGCCGCCTGTGTCAGTCACTTCTGTTAGTTTCCTCCTTTTTTTCCCCCTTCAAGCCTGTTACTAAAGTGAGAGACACTGTTAAGAGTGCCCAAAATAAACACATCCCTAAAAATGACCAAAAGTCTAACTGTAAATATCTCCAGTTATAAACCGTCTTGTTTTATTTAAACAAAAAAAAAAAGAATCTGTCTACAGTTCACTGTGCAATTATGGTCAGCCTTGCAGCAGAGACGAGAACAAGATGCTGCCTGGATGGCATGTAATGTTTGTTTGAATGAAAGCAGCGCTGCATAACAGCTGACAGCTTGGAATAACAATAGGCGTGTTTGTGTCGTCGCACCTCATGAAAGGACCTGTGTGATTCCTTTCAGGGACTTCACTACCACCATTACGAGTTGGCAAAAAACTCAGATCCAAGCAAAGAACAGAGTGAAGAGTTTAAGAAAGCCCTGACCGTCCATCCAGTGTCTGACCCGGAGCAGATGTACCGCCTGCACAGATTCTTCACTGAGATTGAACTCCAGAAGACTTATGATGAGATTGCTAAGCTGCAGGTAAGCTGATTTTCAAGTGTCGCAAATCACCCGTGGATCAGTCACAAATAAAAACCTGCCTGCTCGCCTCTATTGTTGGCACAAAATACCACAATTTCAGTGTAGTACGAGCTGGGTTAAATGTGTCTATTTTAACACTTATTGTGTTTCCACAGGCAGAAATAAAGAATGTGAGTGTTGTTGCTTTTGAGGGGAACCGAAGCGCCCAGTGGCCAGTGGGGATCAATCCTCCTTTTGAACCAAAGTCTCGGTTTGAAGTTCTGAAATGGGAATACTTCACAGAGGAGGAGATTTATTCGTGCATCGATGACTCACCCAAGTGCGAGTTGCGTGGCATTGACCGCATGGACGTGGCGGATGTCATTGACACCGCCATAGGAGAGCTGAACAAGAAGTACATGCCCACTATACACTTAAAGAAGCAGCAACTGATTAATGGCTACAGACGCTTTGACCCCATTAGGGGGATGGAGTACACCTTAGACCTTCAGCTGGAGGCTGTTAATCAGAAAGGTCACAGCCGCTCCATCACAAAGAGGGTTCATCTGGTGCGACCTTTGAGCCAGATAGAGATCATTCCCATGCCATATGTCACTGAAGCTACAAGGGTCCACATTATTATACCGCTTACTCTGCAGGACCGAAGCTACGTCGATCACTTTCTTGAAGTCTTTGCCTCGAATGCCTTTGAGACCAGCGAAAATGCAATCCTAACCTTCTTGTTTATTTATGACCCAGTGGAGGCCCAACAAGTTAGCCAGAATGATATATTTGCCAGCGTGAAGTCTCAGATAACCGTTTATGAACGCAAATACCCTGCAGTGAAAATCCCGTGGATCAGTGTTAAGACGGAAACGCCATCCCAGATCAAATTCATGGACATCATCTCAAAGAAGCACCCCGTCGACACGCTCTTCTTCCTGGCTGAAGTCAACACAAACATCAATTCGGAGTTTCTGAATCGCTGTCGCATGAATGCCATAAACAATTGGCAAGTATTCTTCCCCATTCATTTTCAGGAGTACAACCCCGACGTGGCTTATCACAACCAGCCACATCCAGACACACTTGATCTGGTCAAGGACGCGGGCCTTTTTGACCGCAGGTCGTTTGATGAAACGTGCTTCTACAACTCGGACTACATGACAACGCGCAGTCGGATGGTGGCGGACGTCCAAGAAAACGAGGAGATTCTAGAGAACATGGATATCTACGAAATGTTCGTAAAGTATTCAGGTCTGCACGTATTCAGGGCAATAGAGCCAGCGTTACGCCAGCAATACCGTTATGAAGTCTGCAACCCAAGACTCAGTGAGGACATCTATCACAGATGTGTTCAGAGCAACTTGGAGAGTATCGGTTCTCGCTCCCAACTTGCCATGCTGCTTTTTGAGCAAGAGCACGGAAACAGCACTTAAAAAACAGCAGTGAAACCTGTGCTCCTGCACGTTCGCTAAAAAAGTCTTGAGGCTTGAATTTAGGGTGAAGAGGGCAACCATTGTGCCACCACCCATCGCTTAAACTTTTTACCAAGTATAACTCCTGCTTAGGGGTGTAGGTGACTTTTAGTCACCAGGTCAGGTAACACAAGTGATTGTCTCTGTCTTCCTGTGTGCATTAAGGGCAGTTTGGATATATAAATGCAGTACACTCGCAATGAAACCTTTTCATATAGTTTTAATGATTGCGTCAAGCAGGCTTTGACCACTAGGGGGCAGAAACTTTGCAGTATTGACTTGATTGTTATGATTCAGACGTCCAATGCATTCAGTGGGATTTATAACCTTGATTTTGGTTCGCAACACTTGGATGTAACACTTGTGCTTTTGACTATTTTGAATACAACAGGCATGATTGAGCTGATGTACTGGCTGCAGCTGCTCGACTAAACGAACCAAAACAAGTTGCAAAAACTTTCAGTATGTTGTTGCTTTTTCAGCGGGAATGTCCTTTAATTTAATGTCGATATCAAAGGTATTTTAAAGCGGAGCGGTTTATAATTTTTTTTTTTCTACTGGTAACCTATGTGTCCCTTCACAAGGGGGCACTGAAGTGTTGCACTTTGGTAAATACTCAAATCAGTAAATATCAAAAGTGCATCTTTGCATATGTGCCTTGACAAAAATGACTCCACGAGGTATTGTACATCTATATATTTTTTTAGATTTATGAATAAAATCAATAACGCTTTGGATAAATGGGAGGTGTTACCTTTCACTGTGCATGAAGCCTGATACAGCGGTGGTTATCGCAGAAATGTCAGACCACCAGCTATCCACAGGCTGCACATGTGCCTCAAAGCAGGGAATGGAGCTTCTGAGAAATTGCTGCTGGAACTTTTATATAATAGATACAAACCTTTATTTTTATGTAGGCCAGCATTGTGTTTTTAAGTTATTCAGAGGTTGTCTACTTGTAAGTTTTCCAAGAAAACTTGCTTGCATGAGGCAGTAGATGAGGGCGAGGGCTCATTATTAAATGCTTGTAGCGAGTCCCTTTTGAAATGTACGGTACTTTTTAAATTAGAATCGAATTAGTTTAGTAACAGCTGAAATAAAGAATGTATGAAGACATTTCACCAGGTGTAGGCAGTCTGAGAACTCCAAAAGAAACTGTTTTTGTTTTGCTTTTTTTTTTTAAAAGAATTTCAACTGTGTTGTTAAGATATTGTAAGTCACTGGTTGGTATCATTGTCCTCCCATGCGGTGTGCTCAGTTACACAAATGGCTGCTTTCTCCCAGTTGTAACGCTGCCCAATGGGGGTCTTTTCTGGTGGAGGTAGCGGTACTGGACACCATAATGTCGTTGAGTATATTATAATGTGCAATATTACAGATAACACAGCTGAATATGTCTGATGGAAGACTTTTCATTTGAAAGCAGTGTGTATATCAAAATACTGTACGTGACTCATTCTTTCTGTTTGATACGAAGTAAATACACTGTAATTTCTTATGACAAGACCTTTTAATGTATTTTCTCTGACACTAGACACTTTTCATCATCCGGTTTACTTGGAAATACATAAAATCAAGGCAAGTCCTGTTATTTAACTGTAATTGGATTTGATGTATATGTTGGAAACACTACATCCACTTTGGTGGTCCTGAAAGGTGTTTTCTGTATCGTCTGCCATGTGAACATTTTTTTTTTTTTCCCCGACGCGTCTTTTTTCAAGATGAGTCTTTCTTTTTACCATTACGGTGCACCAGCTTGTATGAATGTTCGTCTTAATCCTTTGAAGAGTACGATGCTAATAATGTGCATAATTGAAAATATAATCTTCCCAAAAAAAAAAAAAAACCCACTGTGAAAGATTGCTGAAAGTGCTGAGATTACAATATGAAGTTATTGTGGTGATCTGCGTCGTCTTTGCCTTCTGCAGACGCGAGAAGCCCAAAATTAAAGGAGCGGGCAGATTAATTATCGCATCCGTCATCGCCGAGCGCAGTCTCTTAAGTATTTTGTCCATAATTTATTCAATCTGTCATATCTCCTAAATTATGCATCTTCTAAACACTTCAGCACTAACAGAGGCTTCCATGACATTTTCAGCGCATCTATAAATATTTTATAGACACTCTATTTTTAAACCTTTTTTTTTTTTTTTTAAAGCTTTATTTACACTGCAGTTTCTATTTTATTATTTTGTGACAGAATCAAGTATCTGCTTTGTCCTTGTGCTTTCAAACAGAAACTAAATTCACTTTGGATCAAGCAAATTATTTAAAATAAAACATTTTTTTTTCTTTAAAATTTTCCATTGCTGATTGAACCTGTTGGTTTACAGTGTTCAGTGCACGTGGGTACTTGTAAAACCAAAGCAATACGTTTCAATTTAAAAAGTTCATCACATCCAAATATGTGCTGTAATTACCAATAAGCTGTGAATTGTAATTTTGTTTTTTGTTTTTTAAATAAAGGATGTTTAAATATGACATTTTGTCCTTTTGTTGTCTGGATTGCTGTGATATAACATTGTTGGCAATGCAGGAACAGAATCCTTTTTGTCCTTTAGGTGTCAGCAGAAGAACGCGTTTGCTGTCAGCAGCGCAGGTCCCAGACCAGTAATGGCTACTGGCCGCTACAAGCAGAGGATTGAACGTGTAGAAATCACATTTCTAATACGAAGAAGACGGTTTTAATCTCACAGAAATAAGCGGCGTTTTCTCAGCAACATTGCTGCGCACGTTAGAACTTGGGTATTCCTGATGTCTGGGTTGGGTAAAAACAGGGAAAACGTCGCAACCTTAATTACAGCTTTAGTTATTTCAAGGGTCTATATGTACTGCCCCGAGGCATGCTGTAAAACCGCATAACTACAGAGCAGCTGTGAGTTAATTGTAAGCCATTATTTTGTACTTTATTTTATGTTCAATCCCAGGACTTTCTCCTGTCGTGTGAGGACAAGGTTGTTTTAGGTCCTCCAGAAAGCAGTAAAAAAAAAGGAAAAAATAAAACAACAAAAAAAAAAAAAACCCCCAAACAATTTACCTTTTAACAAGCAGAATTACACATTTTTTACCATCTCTATCAATAATCCTACTCTCATCTTCTAGGAGCTAGCCTTCGAGATGTCTTTATGCAACCTTAAAGGTCATTCAAAAGGAAATAAAAATGACCAGAGTCTGAATTGCTATTCAACGGTGTGGTTTGTATGGGAATAAAAAGACGGCATACAGTGAAATGGGATTTAAGAGGCACTGGTTTTTATCTAAACTTTAATAGTCATTGTATTTACCATATTTAACATTTATAAAATGTGTTCTAACAGAAGAAATAATCACAAGATCACACTTATATACAAAATGTAAGCGTTCCTTGTCACTGCAGGGATAGTCCATTTCCATTTCTGTCAGATATAGGATGAAATTTCTCCTTTTGAATTCCTGACAGCTCCTTGCATCACCCTGCACTTATATTTTTCTCCGAGGCCTCAGCTGAAAAAAATAAAATAAAACGAGCAGGAGAATGGCAGATATTCAAAACCTAACATCTGTGGCTAGTGAGATTACATTAATTTTTATGGGTAATGTAGCAAGCACATACAGGCTGATTGGTAGTTTAAGCTTTTAAAAACATAGGTAGGTCCCCTATGTAAAGGGAGCTCGGAGTAGGAATCCCAGGAATGTGAGCTACATGTTGTTAAGAAGGGAAGATGTCCCGTCTGCTACAGCACAGACCTGCCGCCCACCGTGTGGTCATGTGGCACCTCACACAGGCTGCTGCTGCTGTAAAGTTATCTGTGTTTGTCGATGAATGCAGAATTATCTGAAGTTGTGTTTTGCAGTGAACCTAAACACACCGTCTTCAGGATTAAAAAAGCCTTTCCACATCCACTTTAGGCTTTTCCGTTTAAATAAAACTCTACAGCAATAAAGCAGCCCTGTATTCATCTCAACACACCAACCCCTGTGTGACTTCTCTGAGGATAGCTACAATTATTGATGACAGAGGAGAAGATTGTTATGCATAGCCTGTACAGGATGCCATCAGAGACTCAGATTGGGAACCTTTTGAAAATGTCAAAGTGACACATGATTATGAATATTAAACAGCCATGTATAGCCCATGATTACTTGAAAGGAGGCAGATGGAGACTGGAATCTCACTGTGAGCCAAAGAGCAGCAACAGAATACACCTATCAAATTAACGGGAAAAATGATGTTGTCATTTGTTAACATAAAATTCTGTATCGTGTAAGGTATTCCTGCATTTCTCAGACACTGGAGTGTCTGCCACCTTCTGTGCAGGAACAAATTTGGTTCACACTCTGCACCAGCGCATTGCGTGATACCTATTCTGACACGTGTAAGTCCAAACTACAGCTTGAGAGCACACATCTGCAAAAACCTCACTCAAGATTAAAGGTGCTTGTGATATAAAACATGCAGTCCCACGTCACTGATCTGGATTAGCATATACGCTGACCTTTCTAAAATTTCTTAGAGGTTTGTACTAGCAAAGCATACAAAAACTTGTATCAGTCCTGAATAATTCTCTCTTTTGGGTGTAACAGAATGCAATTAATTTGCAAAAGAAAATAATGAGGAGCTCACAGCTAGTCTTTACCGGCTACTTGGGTAACCTCATGTACAGCCCCCACTACTCTACTGCAGGAACTTAAGCAAAACAACAATTTAATCCCCCCCCGGTTGTTTTCTTCTCTTATTATAATGAACTAAAAGCAAATTCCAGCCTTAAGGATTTGCTAAAGTAAACGAAACACAGATTTCTTTGTCACAAGATAAAAAAAAAGTGTGAGCAGCATCTGCCATCTTACTACTACAAATATTTCAAGAAAGAACGGGATATTTCTGTTCAAAATCACACTCGAGCACAGACACATGGCCAAACAGATGAAACGACTGACTATGATGTAGCTGACAGCACAGGACCCCATTCTGGTTGAGTTGGTCCTACTAGTTCCCTGAAACAAAAATCCATATCGGCAATGTTTCAAAGGTTGTCCATCCCATCTCTGCTATCATAAACAATAATCTACTTTAGGTTATACAATAAAACATAGACAATGCTGTTGTAAGTTCCAGTTTCTTATTCGAAAAGAATGGTGCAAGAAAGAGCCTTAAATCAAATATGCATTTCTAGGTGGCTAAGGGAAGTCTGGTAAGTTCCTGCAGTGGAAAAAAAAGAGAGACTAGTCGTGAATCAGTGAATCAGTTTATATTTCCCTTTGCTTACTTGTGCTCTTAAAAATTTGTGTTGTCCTCTGTCCTTTTTTACATAAACCAATAAGAATATATATCCGGCTCAGCCACAGTACCTGTTTACGTTGCTGCCACATCTGCATCTCCAGAGGTGGCTTCAGCTGATAAAACCTTCCCGCTGCAGTAATACTCTTCCAGCTTTTTGATTGTAATCCCTCCTTTTTTCATGGATCAGCTCATCTGAGCTGTGTCAGTCTAGTGTGCTCAGTCATGTGTGCAAAATGTTAAAGTGCGCATGCAAACACATAAACAAACACACACACACACGCGCTGGGTCCCCACTGTAAATAGCTGCTGTACTTTTACAGTAGTTCTGAAGGAGATGAGTTTGCAAAAGAAATGTGTAAAAAAATTCTCTTATTGCTTATGTCAGCTTTAAGTAAGGATGCTAACCAAGATGAAGAGTGGATGGTGGGCAGAAATGAGTCGAATAGGAGGAATACTTAAAGCGCAACCATGTCATATGTGAAAACATAACCCAATCCTCATCCGTAAGCAAAGCATGTTTGTTGTCTCAGACATCTTAAAGGAAATGATGGATATAATAGTCACAATGCATTCAGTCCGTTCTTGTTACCTGGACGAAAGTATCAATGTCTGGCAGTCTATCGTATCTGCAGATTGTAAGTGTACAGTAATTGCTACAATCGTGATCGTTATATTTTCTTATAAAAATTGTCTCTAAAATGTATAAATAACTAAAATTAATAGTACATAAGATATATATTAACTAAAAATAAACAACAACCATCGAAACAGAACCTTTAGAACTTTCTCATTTTTACGTTGGACTTTATGTACAGGTACAATGCTACTCTCTAACACCTTAACCACAAACCAGACAAAGTGTATCATGTGGAAAGATGCTGCTAGATCTTCTAAGCCAAGGTCATATATTTCAGCCTAAATAGTTCCCTTCATACTTTGGATGGTGAATAAGGTATGCTTACTGAATTATTGTCATCTTGTATACAATATAGAACATATAATAGTATCTCTTTAAATAATTACATAATATATTGTGTAGATGACTTGATATGGTACACTGTGTTCTCCTCGAAGTAAGAGAAACAGTTTCAAGAGACATACATGGAAGGATACAGACGGGGAAAAAAAAATCTGAGATGCTAGCTGAATAAATAAATCTTTTTTTTTTCTTCTTTCTTTCTTTTTTTGGAATATAAACTGGATCAAGGTGACATGCAGTCCTCCTCTTGTTCCCTCGTAGTGATCATGTACCAAAAAATTGGTCCTGTGTCTTGAATCACAACATGAAGCGGGGCGATGTTGAGTGGGATCCCATCCAGAGACAGAGAGAGAGATAGAGCAAAAAAAAAAAAAAAAAAAAAGGAAAGGAGAAAAAGCCGTGTCCGTTTTGTGCCTACATACTGTACATACAAGTGGTTTGTTAGCAGCACAAGTTTGGTGTTTGACTTTGGCTGTAGCTTTTCACTGGTGACAGCAAAGGAGTGACGGAAATGCCAAGGGTCTGTTATTGGTCTCAACACAGACAGCTCTTATCTTCTGTTGTCACCAAGACAGGAAACAATGGTTGGCTTTAGCAAGCGAAGTCCTCAAACACCCCGTGGTGTCCGGCACGGTGGTGGTGAGGATGAGGATGGGGGTGAGGGTGAGGATGAGGGACGTGGTGGTTGGGGAGAATCGTGTTAGCATAGGCCCCCTCTGGGTGACTCCGTGGCATGTCATTGGGCTCCTGTTGAAAGCAAAGCAAAGGGGGTCAGTAAGTATATTTATCATTAAATATAAGTCATTTTGATTTAAAGAAAAAGCCCCTTATCCCTGGGAAATACTTGCTGCTAGTCAGATCATAAGATTCTCTTGTGTTTGATGTACGGTGCCATGCTTACCCACCTTCTTGTTTCATTCTTGTTAGTTTTTCTTAGTCTTTTTGTTTTAGCTGCACATGTCACTGTAGCATACCTGCCTGATGTTGTCAAAAATGTCCTTGAACTTCTTCCCGCTTTGGGTCAATTTTTTTGTCTCCTGCGATTAGCCTTTCTCATCACATAAAGAAAGCTTTAGGTTAAGGGGGTTTTATTATGCTCATTTCCACCTCCATAATTTTTTTTTTGCTATACTTTATACTGGGGCCTTGATGCAGTCATTCACATCATCCTCTGCCTGAAACAAGCTGTTTTACCTCTTCTTTCTTCAAAGGCCATCTTCTCTTTAACCCAACTTTCTTCTT